GAAAAATGGACCGCTGCAGCGCTATGATTACCACGGCCGCGCAAAATCAAGCGCGGACCGCGGTCTTCAACTTTTAGCTCCACTTCTGGCTCTCTGATTCTGACTTCCGCTGAGGGCGGTAACTCAACCGCGGCCGCGCTAAAGCTACCGCTGCCGCGCAATTTCACCGCGGGCAGCGGTGACTTGTTAAGCCCATAACATCACTCTCTGAACTTTGCTACCACCGAGAGCGTAAACAAGACCGCCTCAGCGGTGGACCCTCCGCGTCCACACCAGTTTCTTCGCTGTCAGCGCTCTTTTGACTCAGCTTTGACTTGTGCAGGTTTCACTCCTTTTTGAGCTGGTTTTGACTTTCTTGTCTCTTTTTGACCAAACACTGCAAACAAGCACAATAAGTTAGCTTTCGGGAATACTTGTGCACACTTTTAATCCAAATCCTAAGCAAAAAGGAGCATAAAATAGGCTAGAATTCCTAGTTATCAGCGCTCTGATTAGCTTCGGCCCTCTCGGCACTTGCCCCCACCGGCGTACTTGTTGAAGGAGGGGGAATGATCTCGATCTTGGCGGACTCGTGGGATTTTCCCAAATCTTTCTTCGGAGTTCCTTCATCATGAGGCAAGGTCTCGGGTTAGGAGGACTTGGCGGCCTCGACTGATTTCCTAGTTCGGGGCACCAGTGCCAAATCTTCGCCCTCGTTCTCTTCATCTTCCAGATGTTGGATGGCTGAATCCAAGTCCACATGGATACGTTTCCTCCTTGGCTTTCGAGTAGGGGCCCCCTCATCTTGGAGATCTTCGGGTTTCGAAGCCCTTTTTCTCTTGTTGTCTTTCCCCGATTTCGGAGTCGGAGATTCAGACTTTCCCCCAGGCGGGGGTGGCCTCATTTCGGAGACATCTCCGATGCCTGCACAAATAAACAGAATGAGATGACATCACTAATAAAAGAAAAGTATCAAAACCTGGGAAGAGAAATTACCATGATGTTTGGCCTCCCATTTGCCCCTCGATAAATCGCGCCATTTGCGCTCATCATACGAGGAGGTCACAGCTAACTTTCGGACCAAGTCCTCGAGGTCAGGGATAGCGTGGGGCGTCGAAGCGACAGCTGCAGAAAAAGTAAAGGCATTACGAAACACGAAAGCAGGATATGAGTAGGTATTTGGAAAATAACTTCACTTACGATTAAAGTTCCATCTCTCCGGGAATGGTATTTTTTCCCTAGGGATTACATCTGAGGTCCTCACTCTAATAAACCGGCTCATCCAGCCTCGATCTTTGTCTTCATCGTTACTAGCAAAGAAAGCCTTTAACGATCGACGTTGCAGCTTGATGAGCCCTCGAAATAATTGAGGCCGATACAGCCGAATGAGATGGTTGAGGGTAAACTCCAATCCCTTGGCCTTGCTGGAGAAATAGCAGCAAAATTACGATGAGCCAAAATGAGGGATGGATCTGGCCGAGGGTAACCTCGTACCTTTTGCAGAAGTTGATTACTACCGGATCGAGGGGACCCAATGTGAAGGGGTAAGTGTAAACACTTAAGAACCCCTCCACGTGGGTAGTGATGCTTTCCTCGGGGTTTGGGATCTGTACCACGACCTCGTCTCCCCAGCCGTAGTCCTTCTTCATGGCCTTGAGGTGATTCTTCGATATCGAACTGATATATCGAGATACATGTTCGCATCGGCCTGGGATATCGGGGGGATTTCAATATTGAAATCTTTTTTAATCACACAAGGATGGGAGTGATTTCGTGAAGAGCCAGTGGCACCATTGGTTTGGCCGGCTGGGAAGAAGAAGATGATGATGCCTTCTCCTTTTGGGGGATTGTTTTGGAAGTTTTGGCCATAGTTTTGAGCTAAGAAATGCAGATGGTGGCGGAGCGTGTTGTTTTCTGGGAGCTTGGCGTTTTTCGGCACTTAAAGGAGCGGAGGAAGCGGATGATGAGAGAAAGAGATGAAGATGAAAAGGTGATCAGAGAAAAAGTGATGAAGAAGTAAAGTTTTTAATTCAAGAAGGAGCCCCGTATTCATAGATAAACGGCGGCGGTTCGGCGGCGCTAGTGGCCGACCATTACTGGCATGTATTTAATGTTTTGGGGAAGTGAACCGACGGGACATTTCGATCACTTTGAGCGCCTACGTCACGGGAATGACGCCATCGTCAGAGACTCCGGAAGATCGAGGTTCAAATCGTTTCTTATCATCTTATTCTAAGAAACACGGGGACTATCTGTATACGGTCGAATTCAGGTATGCCCGATCTCCCAGGCTCGAGGGGTCGCCTTAGGCCCGAGTTCAGGTAAGGTCGAGTTCGAGCTCGATGGACCAGACTCGAGCTCGAGACAGAGTGCAATGACCGAAGATTGAAGTACGATGGATACCAAAGCCGAGTATGCTCGGCCCCGAAATAATGCCGTTATGGATTTGTAACAGAATGACCGAGATTCCTGCCACGTCCCTAAAATCATGGCGCAAATCCCGGAATAGAATTGTACGATTCCGTACTAGGCGGTTAGACAGCTATCCCAATAAGATTCCTTACTGTAAATGGAAATGCACCTTATTTAGGACTCCCCTATTATATAAAGGGGACCCCAATCATTTGTAAACATCATCCAATCATTGGCAAATAATATACTCTCTACTTTTCGCTCATTGTTCATCAAAATTGCCATTTAGCTTTATTATTCTCGCTTTATCGTTCTTAATCCATCTCGAGGTCATTGGGCTCGAGGTCGAGACTGACTTATCTACTGATTTGGTCTTACTTATTTCTTTCATTTATACGTTGCTCTTCTTGATTTGGTATTGAACTAAATCACGTATCTTTAAAATCACAAATCAAATTTAATTGTTACTCGTATTTTCCAGGTAAACAAAGAATCCTAACAATAAAATATTTACATGCCAGTATTATAATCTTAGTGACCGTTTACCAAACAACTAGCCATGCAGAGAGTTTTGTTTTTTGTACTTTTTAATAGGATTGCAATAAAAGATGAAAATGTACTGATTTCTGAATAAAATTATATATAAAGGCTGTCTCTCCCCGGTATCCTATGAAACAGAAACACGTGATTGCGATTGTTTTATAATAGGAAATATACAATAAAAGAAAGTTATGTCGAGAAATTAGAAGAAGAAAAGAAGTAACATTAATACCATTCAAAAGCAAAACGAAAAAAGAAAATGTTGCAATCCCCTACTTTATTCGACTTCGATATAATCAAGCTCAAGTTTTATAGAGTTTTCAATAAGTTTCCTAAAATTCGTAAGTAAATGTGTAAACTAAACAAAACTATTTATAAATTGTGTTATACTCTACTCCGTTCATTTGAAAATTGAATATCTTAATTTTTGCAACAATAAAATAAGTCCACAAGTTATTACAAGCAGAAAATGGAAGTTGTAATAATTTCATCTAACTATGTTTAGAGGCATCGCCATGATTTGAAGTTTATAAGTTTGGAATTCTAGTCCTTTTAAGTTACTGAATCTTAAAATAATAATTTATACATATTCAATAAATTTTTTAAGACAAATATAAAGTTTTAACCAAAGTTAATAGGCCGTAACTCAAAGTGTTTATCCTAAAAACGGATAATAATTGAATTTATATTGTGGTTTTAAGGACACGTGATTTTACTTGGTACAAACTGAGAGAAAACGTAAATTGATATAGAAATTAAATAAAAATAAAGCAAACCAAATGAAATGTATAGCTTTGAACCTCGAGTTAGGCCGCCTTTAAATCAAACAAGTATTTTGATGGAGAATATGAAGAAAGGAACAGAGTATTGAGAGCTTAAGAAAAAGGCATTATATTGCTTTATGTAACGTGAGTATGGTCTCTTTTACAAATGATCAGACCCCCTTTATATAGTAGGGGAATCCTACTCTCGGTATAATTCTAAATACAGTAAAAAATTCCATGATTGGCTAATTAATCGACCTCTTCTTGATACGTACCGGGATTTGGGCCGTGATCCTCGCCCGATTGCGGATATTTCGTCTTTTGTTATTCGACCCAGTAAGCTTCCCTCGATCTCCATCTTATTCGGTCCCGATCTTGGTCGATCTCAATCTTTATCGGTCTCGATCTTAATCGATCTCAGGGTCTCGAGCTTAATCGGTCTCAGGGTCTCGAGCTCGACAACCTAACTCTGCACCGTAGTTTGATATAAATCGAAGCCGACCCTTGACTTATCATGTTCCAGCCTCGATCTGTCGCACAAAAAGGGCAAGCCCGATTTTGACCGTATACACAAAGGTTAGCTCTGGAAATGTTGAAATTCACAATGAGGAGCGTTTTTCTTCCAAATTAAAAATAATCTAATTAGCGATTTTGCAGATATTTGGTTGTCATTACTACATAGAGTTTGATTGCATTCTTGGATTCAAACTTATTTCATCTTGTTGTTATTCCTACTTGTTGCAATTACCTTTTCTTTTTCAGTCGTTCTCTAGCCGATGGTCTGTTGGAAACAACCTCTCTGACCCTCCAGGGGTAGGGGTAGAGGTAAGGCTGCATACATCTTACCTTCCCCAGATCCCATTTGTGAGTAACTACTGCAGATATTTAGTTGTCAAAAGAAATTTGCAATCAACTAGTATAATAAATCTTATGAATGGTACTCCCTCCGTTTCATATTAAATGAGGTACTTTCCTTTTTAGTCTGTTCCAAAATAAATGACACATTTTTAAATTTGGAAATAATTCAACTTTAAACTCCTCATTTTACTCTTTTACCCCTAATGAGAAGCTTTTATAACCACACAAAAGTCATGGCCCCACAAAGCTTTACCCCTTAAGCTTTTAAGACCACAAATTTCAAAAATTTTTCTTTTTTTTCTTAAACTCTGTGCCGAGTAAAACTACCTCGGATGGAGTACTATTTTGGTTGTCATTATTTATGGTCAATTCCAAATACTTTTAAGATGAAAATAAAATCGTGTGTGTGGATATATATACTACGTACAACTTACTTTAGTTGGAGTGTCCTGTTTCCCTACTTCTACTACTACTGCACCACTTCTTTGTTTCCACTCTCAGTCACACTGCACAAAAACTGTGACTATTTCAAGTGAAATAACAGAGAGATTTACAATAAAAACAACTGGCGATCATAAATGTTTCTCCAAACGAAATCATGAGCTTTTTCTGCTGTACAATTTCACGGATTCTCCATCACTACACTGCATAGGTACAATCCAACTACGACTGGCAAAGTACCACTGTTCGTTGTTATCCACACTCTTTTATCTTGCAACATTAAGTTTTTAGATTTTCACTGAATTAATATTGCCGTTATTTACTTTATCTGAAATTGAAACCATTAAGTGATGGAGCTTGATAAGGTGACAATGGAGATTTTCTCCAAGCTAGAGCAGAAATGGCTGTACCAATACGAAGGGAAGAAAACGCGTATTCTCAGCATTGACGGTGGTGGAACTAACGGCATTGTTTGTGGTGCCTCTTTGATTCATCTCGAAGATCAGATCCGTGTGAAAACCGGTGATTCTCAAGCTCGAATTTCGGACTTCTTCGACATTATCGCCGGTACCGGTATAGGTGCTATTTTCGCTGCAATGCTTGTCGCTGACGGAGGTGATGGTCGTCCGTTATTCACAGCTAAGGATGCTGTTAAATTCGTAACGGTAAACCAGTCGCGGCTGTTTAAGGTGAAGAACGTCGGCGTTTTCCCCCGGAAAAGGAGGTTTTCAGGGAAGAGTATGGATAAAGTGTTGAAGGAAGCTTTCAGAAGAGAGGACGGGAAAATGTTGACGTTAAGGGACACGTGTAAGCCTATACTTGTTCCTTGCTTTGACCTCAAAAGCTCAGCTCCATTCGTTTTCTCCCGAGCTGATGCGACGGAGTCTCAGAGCTTCGATTTCGAGCTCTGGAAAGTTTGCCGTGCCACATCAGCTAATCCGTCAATGTTTAAACCGTTTCAGTTAAATTCCGTCGACGAGAAAACCTCTTGCTTCGCCGTAGACGGCGGTCTCGTCATGAACAATCCCGCCGCCGCGGCCGTCACTCATGTTTTGCACAATAAACGAGATTTTCCTTCCGTGATAAGCGTTGATGACCTTTTGGTTCTCTCTCTAGGTAACGGTCCGTTAAGTCATTCGTCTAACTTGAAATTCCGTAACGACGGTTATTTCTCTCCCTCTTCCGTCGTCGGTATCTTTGTCGACGGCGTATCTGAAACTGTTGACCAAATTCTCGGCAATGCCTTTTGCTGGAATCCAAATGACTACGTGAGAATTCAGGTAACTGTCACAATTTATTTTTAGCAAAATCAAAACATGAATATTAACTGCGTAAAATTACACTCTTGAGTTTTTTTTTTTTTTAACTCATCAATATTTAATCGGCTCAAATAATCATCTTATTATTGTTATTAATCGTTCCTTAACATTGATATTGACCTACTTATGATATACTTTTAAGTAAGTTTATAGTAATATTTTGGGTAATTACTTAAAAATTTAGCTATAGGGGTGTCAGCGTTGTTAACGGAGTAGCGTTTTATGCACAGGCTAATGGCTACACAAGTGGAGGAGTGGGACCGAGAGAGGAGGAGGTGTTAGAGGAAAGAGGAGTTGAGTCGTTGCCTTTTGGCGGTAAACGGTTATTGACGGAGACTAACGGACAAAGAATCGGAAGCTTCGTACAACGGCTTGTTGCATCTGGGAAGGGTAGTTTGCCGCCAAGTCCTTGCAAAGAAACTGCCGTCAATCCCCTTACAAACGGACGTTAAGTCAATTTCGTTGTCTTTTTTCTTTTCCTTTTTAATTCACTTTTGTCCGTTCTGTTAATTAGTGCTAGACTCGAGATTAGTTTTCTTGGTATAACCGTTGTCGTATTACGCCTTAATCTTGTTGATGCTGCCGCATTAAATAATACTCCACTACCTTAATGTGTGCGGTACTATTTTACATAAATTCTCCTTTAATTAAGGGATCGTATCGAATGAGGGTAGATATTTTGTAGGAATTGTACAATTATACTACGTAAAAACTAACAAATAAAATATATACGTATATTGTACTGAACAGTACTTACTAACATGTTCTGAAGTAGTAAGTACTTTAAGCTTAGGTTATGATGTGCTGTTACAGCTGGTATGGTAACACACGTTTGTTAAAATCTCGTCCTCTCTTCTACTGGAACTTGTCGTAATTTTAAGTAGGCAAATTAATTAAGCCAGAAATTGCTCTTTTACATAGTTTGACCTCGATCATCAACTTACTTTGGGAAAAGAACAGTATTGGTGTCGAATGTTCCGGAGAGGCAACGTCCGAGGAAGGCTGCATATACTTTATTACGAATTAAAAACGAAACATAAAGATGCACTTCACCTAACAATGTGACTACTCAAAAATAGTCTGGTAAGTCTTTTCTTGAGCATCTTCACAAAAGTAAGGATAAGACAGCGTACGCATTACCAACTTGTAAGATTTCATTGAGTATATTATTGTTGTTGTTATTGTAGCCTAGCTCATTGGTCAAGAATCTACAAAGAATCGCAGTTTGTGGTAATTTTTGCCCAATAGGGATTTCAGTTCTAAAATGGTGTCAAAATCTGAGGATGGGAAGAGTAAGAATCAGGTGGCGAGTAACCAGGGCGGCCCTTCCATAAAGCAAATAAAGCAATCACTTTAAGCCCCGTATTTATAGGGGCCCCATTTTTTGTTACACCTAATAGATTATGTATAAGTTTAAAAGAGAGTTTTGTACAGTAAAAAAGTTTGATTTCTTTATACCAAGAAAATTGCACTTGAAATGAATATCAAACCCGAATTTCGTAAGAAACGTGTGATATATAGGAAGTAACAATTTGATACAAATATTGATAATGAAATCTCAAAATCTTTCAAAGAGTCCTTTAGAGTTGATTACTTTTATACATAATAGACAAGGCTAGTATTTTACTTCAAAATAAATTTGGACAATTCGAAGCATATGAAAATATTTTTGATTTTCTATTTAGCAGTAAAACTAAGATCACTAGATGTTGGAAATTTGAAAAAATATTGCCTTAATCGTGAATGTTCCTTAAAATGTAAAAATCAATTCAATATTGATGGTTTAGATTTATTTTCTGAATTAAAATTATTAAGAAAAATAGTACAATTAGAAGATAACAATTTAACTAATACACTTAATCAAATAAAAAGAGTTAATTCTTTTCCAAATGCCTAAATTGCTTATAGAATAATGTTAATAACTCATGTTACCGTTGCTTCAACAGAAAGAAGTTTACACAATTCAAATTAATAAAATCTTACCTAAGAATAACAATGGCACAAGAAATATTAAATGGATTAGTTATATTGTCAATTGAGAAATACTTATTAGGAGTTATTGATTATAAGAAAATTATTAATAACTTTGTATATAAGAAAGGCTAAAACATAGACTTCAAATAAATAATATAAAAAAGAAGTTAAGGCCTCTCATAAAATTTAGTTTTAGGCTCCAAAATTCGTCGGGCCGTCCCTGCGAGTAACCCATATATATGTCTGCTCAATTACTTTGTAAACAACAATCACATTGAATCAAAATGTCTGTGTTGACAGACTCTGTCCATTCACCAATTATGTACACACATTAAAACCCCACAAAATTAACCATACCATATAATAACTCTAGTATTTAAAGCTATACTAGATTCTAACCTAAAGCGAAAAAAGGGCGTACTTCTCTAATAATAATTGACAGAAAATTAACCGTAAGAATACTTGTACTTTTTAATGCTAAATACCATACTTGTACTTTTTAATGCTAAATACCAGAACAGGTAGGGCTTTTTCTTTTGGGCAAGTATATACATAGGTATGCTTTTTCTATTGTTGCTTTCATCCCATTGCGCCCGTATTTTAGTATGTTTAATTTTGGCTGCTTCTTTTAACAAAAGCATATAATTATCAAAAGTAGGACAAGGACTGAACCAAATGGCTCAGTTCTTTTGGGGAAGTCAGAAGTTAATTGGTTGGGGAATTCTTCTTAAATACTCTCAGTGCGTTATCTGGCCTGACTCCTTGATCCAAATGGCTCAGTTTTGGTATTCCTAGTCTTATATATTTCTTTCAACTTCCATGTTTTTTCATGTATTATTAAAATTATATTGAGAATTATCTAGACACCCACTCTTTCCACCATGATAAAATTTGTTGAATAATTAATGGAAGTATTATACCACTCTTATGATAGCAGATTATGTACATCTACAAACTCTTCCATATTTCTTTAGACAAAGCTGAGACGTAGCATTAGCAAAAGTAGAACTACTCATATTAAGAAGTTAATAGGCATCTTTGGTTGAGTCCGGAACCAAAATATTACGTAGTATTTTTTTTTTACTCAAAACACAAAAATAGGTGAAAAAAAGAACTGATGACCAATTTATATATAACGCATTTCTTCAATGCGCTATACCTTAACGACACGTTTGTCCGTTGAGGCATAGCGCATGGTTAAAGCGCTATATTTGAATTTTAAATTGGCGGGCAAAATATATAGATAGCACATATACATGATGTGCTATACCAGAAGTTGAAAAGACAGGTAGGTATAGCACATCCAATATATGCGCTATACCTATATAAAATATCGATCCCGTCTCCTTCCCTGACCAGACAGAAGCAGAAGTTGAAAAAGGGTCCCCTCCCATTTTTTAACCAAAAAACTCCATTGGAGCCCATCCGTCCCCAAAATTTTTTTGTCTTCTCCGTATTTTAGCAAGCTAACACCGGATCTAAGACGTTGCCGTGTAGTGGATCTCGTCTATTTCTTGTTTCGGAGAAGACACGACACGTGCATGTTAACATAAATTTAAATTCGTTAACAATTAAAGATAATACATGACACATATAACATAAAAATTTAAAAAAAAAAAAAACCTACACTAAACGCACCCATGTGTTTGTTAGTCACTATCGCACATTATTCTATGCTTCAACCACTTCATTTCTCTTCCAACCGATTATTTTCTTCTTCTGCCTCTTTTAGTTTCTCTTACCGCAAGTTGTTCTTGCAGTTTCAAGATCTGGTGTTCGTACTCACCGGTCAGATTTCAAATGTTTAGCAAACATGATTTGTAGTATTACTGGTTAATGGGTTCATCATACCATTCTTCAAAACCAGATTGATTTCCGTCCTGCCAATGGGGATGATAACAAAAGACTATTAATTAACATGTTATATAAAAACTATTAACAAACATTTTTTTCAATAATAATAACTTACAACTTGTTTACACATCCAACGTCTGCGCCGCAGATTGCAATTTGACCAACATGGCTTCAAAATCACACATTTGTCACAGTAACACCTTGGTACGTCATTGCGTCCAGACATGTCGTAATGCTCGAAAATGAAAAATTAATGGAAAGGTGTTTTATTCGTTTTGTTACAACGCAAACTAATAACAAAATATAAAATAAGTTAAGCAAACAAATATTTCGGAAGACCTAAAGGATCCTGAATGGTTTTTTACCAAAATTCTGAAACTCCTTAAATAAGCAAAAAACAAGTCCAGGGGTACAATAATTGAGGCTATAGCGCATGCATTATACGCGCTATATGCGCTATACCTTGGTAGGTCAGTAAAGTTCAGATGAATTGTTGGTGGGTCATTAAAGTTTACATATAATGCATGTAACCCATGCGCTACACCTTAACGGACAAACGTGCCGTTAAAGTATAGCGCATTGAAGAAATGCGTTATATATAAATTAGTAATCAGTTCTTTCTTTTACATATTGTTGTGTTTTGAGTCCAAAAAAACAACACTTTGTTTCTGGACTCTCTTTAGTTCGGGTCCTCTTTCTTCAAAAGGAAAAAAGGAAACAGATGAAAGTAAAAGAACAGACAACGGCAACTGCTGAATAATATAACAACAAGAATGTACTATATTGAACATCAACTATTTTTATGAATTTTATGTGCTTGTTGAGAGATTCCTGACATGTACAGGGTGAATAGCTAACACATGCAATTAATAAATTTAACCATCATTTTAACTTTTCTTCTGTCGATTGTTTTGTCTATACTCATTGGGACCCTTCTGGAATTACAGTAGTTGCTTTAACAGTTTATGACAAGAATTAATTTGTATGGAAAGGGTCCCGTTCTCCAGCTACGTGCAAGTTTGCCTTGGATAAGTTTGGAGGCTATACACAAATTATAGTTACATATAGCGGGATGTAAGATATAAATTTTGATAGGTTACGTTTAATTTCGAGATGATTGTATTGAAGAAATTGCATTTTAAAAATTACATTATAATTTATAATTTATTGAAACTTTAGTAATTTTTCGCGTAAGTATTTGTATTACGTATCGAAAATATTAAATCCAATTGAACCCGTTGAATATAGGTTGCATCTACCTCCACTTACGTTGCCAAAGTCAATAAGCAAGCATGGCAGGTGTAAGAAACATTGATCGATTTTTTGAACTCTCATTAACTGTAATCGGGAATTAATTGGAGATTTTGCTTTGGACGATGGAATTGTCCACAAATTGAGAATACTTAAATACTAGGGAAAAATGTTTAGTGTTTGATAATTTGTTGAGACTAAGACTGTTAATTATGTCACGGACAAGCTGGTTCAATTCTCCTGGCACATTCACGACAAACGACAATTGCTATATGTAAAAGAGTCGTAATATAACTTGATCTTTTTCTTCTTTAAGCAGTATAAGTATTGCTGTTTAAGTAATTAATTTCTACTCAATAAATATAAGAACGTGAATAATACAAAGTGGGAGAGGTGCAACGCTAAAGACGTAAGGGGTTCATCCGAACTCATAAATCCCTTTGAAAATTAGATGTTGAACCCGCAGTTTGATTTCCTCGTGTGTTTGCTTTCTTATTCTTAGGATTCCCTATAGTAAAAATCATATCTTTGT